ATGGATTATTAATTGGTAAAAGCGCTGAAGATTACAATTTATTCTTCGAAAAAGTATTAGTACAAGACGACTTCCAACCTGAATCAATTATGACTGATTTCGAAACTGGTACAATCAAATCCGTCAGAGAAATGTTGCCAAACTTTTTACAAAATGTTTTTTTGTATTCTAAAAAAAAAAAAGTAATCAAAATGTTTGTTATAGGATGTTTCTTTCATTTTCCTCAAGCGATATGGCGGCAAGTTCAAGAAAAAGGATTGGTAACAAAATACAGAGAAGATGAGTACTTTCGTTTAAATGTAAAAAAATTAATTGCTCTTGCTTTTGTTCCAGTAGATGAAGTTACAAATGGTTTTGACTTAATTGCCAGCCAATTCGACGATGACGCCGATGATTTACTTGATTATTTTGAAAAAACATGGATTGGTGAACCAAAAAGAAGAGGTAATTTGTTTTCTTCATTCTTAAGAAATACGAAATATAATCGACTTTCTTAGGAACTGGTCGAAAGAGGCCTCAATTTGATCACAATTTATGGAATATTCACGATCGTGTCATCGCTACTGTACCTCGTTCCAATAATTCGGTTGAGGGCTGGCACAATGCATTCGCAAGTCGCGTCGCAATGAGTCATCCTGATATTGTGAAACTGGCAGAGAAAATTCGTCGAAAACAATCGAAGTTCGAGGTGGACATGGCGAAGATTCTCCAAGGTCACGACGTCAAGACAAAAAAAGCCTGTTATCGAAGATTGGACGAACTTATTACTCGGCTAGTCAACGTATTCGACTCATCTCAACTGGATGAATTTTTAAAAAATATGGCCGCCAATATTACTGTTTAAGTAAGTTACTTTTAAAAGTATTTCTCTCAATAATTTTCTTTTGTTTTATTTAGATTATTCTTTTTCTTTTCGTTTGATTTATTATTTATTTCATGTAAATTTTGTTTAGATTTTCTTCTCTTCCCCACGAATCGCATTCATCTCAGCTGGACTAATAAAAAAAAAGATTATTAACAGTACTCATCAGGTAATTTACTCTCTAACTTATTTCTATAATTGATCTTTTTTTTTCTTTTAGATTATTATTTTCGTCTTTTCTGCTTTTTTTTTCTTGTTTTCCTTTTTTTTCGTTGTAAATCTATTCATCATGTAATATATAATTCACGAAATAGATATGAATCATTTGCTCAAATTAACGTCTTTGAAAAGTGAACTAATTAAGGAGTATGGAAACAATAGATAGAATGGAAGAAAACGAGAGTAATTACTTTGCGACAAACAGAACGAAAAAAATTGCGATGAACAGAACGAAAAAATTGCGACGAATAGAACGCGACAAAATGTTACGCGACGAAGTGATCGTGTGACGAAATGTACTAGCGCCGCCTATATGTTGTCCTTATAATAAGAGAGAAAAGTCCTCTTGAAATCTGATTGGTCCAGTAAATGAACCGATGAAGTTTTGGGATTCTATTTCTCAGTGAGATGTGGGGTGGGGTCCCATACCTATACGCATGAATCGATAGAGCGTCCTTAATAACCCTAAGATTTACGCGAGCATACCGGTGTGTTGTTGTTATAGTATGAGAGAAAGTTCGTTCTGATAAGGTCTGCGAAATACGACCGTATACGCGCGCTCTATTACGGTCGTGAACGGCACCGTATACGGTGTTGTCAGTCGGCGTTGGGGCATGCCAAGTTTTGAATACGGTCGTATACGGTTGCCGTATTACGCCGTATACGGCACGGCGAAATACGGTCCCACGAAATATGGCGAAGATACGGCCGTATACGATCGTAAATCCGCCGCATACGGCCGTAAATCCACCGTATACGGCCGTAGACGCCGCCGTAAACGGCCATGTACGGCCGTTTGTGGTCGCCGTAATGCTTGTTCTGGGACTATGTCTGCAGCTTTAAGTCATGAAGTAAAACCTACTGAGTTGGAGAAAGATAACCAGCTAACACTTTCCATTGTCGATCTGTTTGCTCAATGTGTTGCTTCACAAGCTCCAGGTTGCCAATGTGCGAACGATGGACAGGATTCATCGAGCCAGTCATGATCAAGACACAACTGAAACGAATGTAAGAAAATATTCTGATCATTATTTTCTCTTTTTGCTCACTTGTTAGGACTATTTTCGGAGCCATATGCTTTACAATTATCAATCAAAATTTGAATATTCGTATTTTTTTTGTTGAAAAACTCTGGTATACCATCATTCCCGATTTCTTTCGCAAAGTTATTAGCAGTTGTTTCTTGATAGTCATCTTGCATTCTTGTTTCGATTTGGCCATGTACTTGGGGTACTAAGGCAATAGAAAAGTATGTATGATTTTGTGCATGTGCTACTAGGATAAAAGCGTTAACCAGCATTCTGACCTCATGAGAAGCATGCAGCCAAAGCACATAGAGTCAGACCGACAATTTTATTTATAATTTATAGTACGCATCTTTTCTTTAGGCCCCCCCCCCTCAAAAAAAGTCAATTTTCGTGAGAATTGTCAAAATTGAGATAAATGCATGGGAAGCTAGCCCGTCTTTAGATCTTTCATAAACAACAAAAATTTTTACTCAACACCTCTTTTTTTCCAAAAACTTTTGAAGATTTTTGTCGACTCTTATTCGAAAAATAAGCTATTTTCAAAAAAAACAAAAAATCTTTTTCATTTTTTCTCAATTTATGATTTTTTGATTTTCTGTCCAAGATTTCTCGGTCCGGGCTCTGTCAATATATTTAAATTTTTTTTTTGTTTGAAAGAGCGCGTCGAGATGCAGGGCAATATAGAGTCCTTTTTTTAATTAAGCTTTATTTTTTATTATATAGACAGACACTTATGTGACTGGACACCAATTTTTGGCGCGTTTTTTGAGTCATTGAACTTGTGAGCCCCTTTCTCCGCGAAAAAAGTAAGAATTCAAAAAAAAGGACTCTATATTGCCCTGCGCCCTGAGATGCTCTTTCAAACAAAAAAAAATTTAAATATATTGACAGAGCCCGGACCGAGAAATCTTGGACAGAAAAGGAGCTATTTTTGACCCTTGTTTTGGTTCATATCTCTGTCAAACGTCGGGATATCGACCTGAAAATTTTACCACAGCCTCCTCACTTCAGCCCCAACATATGCTCCAAATTTCAGCCCATTTGAACGTTCCTGGGCAGAGATCGATTTTTGAGGGGGGGAGGCCTTTAAGGAATCCAGACCGAAAATAAACGTTCTAGCAAATACAACGAACAGTAATTATATGTTACATCGACGCGATCCTTTATTCATGAGAGATATTCGCAAATGTAATTGGAATCAATAGTATTACGATGTTTTCAGTTCTTTTACATAACAGACTATTAAAGCTTTTTCTTAAAGAAGTGAATGAACAATGGCATGAAAGTATTAAGCGAGAAGAATGAATCCTCTCATCTTCCTTAGCAATACGTGATTCGAACAGAAGATTTTTATACATCTGAACCTGAAAGATAATATGATCGATGAAGATAGTGTGCTCGTTTTTGAGGGCATTTTGACGTTTCGTCACTACTTTTCATTCCGAATATCCAATGTCGTAGTCCGTTCCGAACATCCGTTTTTCTTCGAAAAATCATCACTTTTAATATAAAAATATCGGATGTTCGTAATAAGAAAAATACGGTTGTTCGAAACGATCATCGAAAAATAACGGATGTTCGTAAAAATTTTTACCGGTTTTTCCGAGCATCCGTTGTAGGACTAAAATGTCAATTCCGAACATCCGGTGTCAAAGATGGATGTTCGAAATGATCGCGACGAAACGTCTGGAGGCCGTTTTTGAGTGATATAGACCGATTATGTGTCACACTCTAAAACTAATTGGTATACTCGGAAACCGATGAAAAAAAGGTTTCCGAGGGTTCGAAAACCCTTTCAAGATATTTTGAACTTCGGAAATCTTTTTCAGCTTCCGAGCTTGTTACTATAGGATACATTTTAAGGGTTTCCTAGAGTAAAAAATAAGTTTCTGAGTCTTCGGAAACCCTTGAAAGGATATCTGATGGTAAGAAATGGGTTTCCGAACCCTCGGAAATCTTTTTTCGTCGGTTTCCAAGAATATCTCGTTTTTTTTTAGAGGACACAGTTTAATTCAAGGCACTAAAATAAAATGTGTTGCATCTACGTGTCGCCAGTTATAGTGTCGGGGGTTTTAAGTCAAAAATGTATCGAGGGAGAATGGGTCGTTTATTGATTTCGTTAATTCTGTATGTCTAATGTTCATTCACCGCTTTGTGTCGTAAGCAAAGCTTAATATAAGCAACTCGATGAAACATAAGAAATTTATATTTTCATATTAACTTTCTTTCGAGATTATTTATCGATTGTGTATTAGTCCAGAGTATGCCCATCTCGACCGACGATCGAGAGAGGTGTACCACAATGGGGGAAAAGCTGACTGCAATCAAAGCAATCACTAGCAACTACTAGCAATGAGAGAGTTAGCTTTCTGTTAAAGCATGATTGCCATTGTGCTAAATGATGAAAACTAAAATTAGTATCAGATACAAATAGAGTCCATTATCTGGCAGTCAAGAGAACAAAAGCAATCAGTGGCAATCATCGGCAATCTTGACAATGAGAAAATGAGCTTTTCTTCGTACGCATTAATCATAATCAAAAACATGATTATCATGCTGTTTAGTGATGACAACGAAAATTCGATTCAGAAGGGTGTGGGGTGTGGGTGTGCGTGCAGGATTTCGTGTTTATGGCGTACGGATGTCATGTTAGATTTTCAAATATTTTTTCTTCCGCAGCCACGCTCACACCCACACCCACACCCTTATGGCAAGTTTCCTTACTACCTATCAGGTTTCACATAATATACAAGATTTCAAAAGAAACATGATCTGACGCTTGGGCATGATTTGGGCAACGTTTACATGATCATTACTTATCCTGTACTTGCGCCCACAAATGTGGGCAATAATGCAAATTAATGGACATTATTTTACATTATTTTTGATAAATAATATATGCAATATAATTACAATAAAACCTATTTCATGCATTGAAATGCATTGATTTTGAACGAATTATTGAAAATTTTACCATTATTTCTTTGCAATTCATTAAAATGCATGAACATTTTGAGAAAAAAATGCACTAAAATGCATTGAAGTCGTGAGGATTTTCAATTAATTGTAACATATTTCTTTCTCAAAGTTTTCATGCATTTTAATGAATTGCAAAGAAATAATAGTAAAGTTTTCAATAATCTATTCAAGACCAATACATTGAAATGTGTGTAATAGGTTGCCTTATAATTACATTGTGTACATTAATTATCGAAAATAATGTAAAATAATGTGCATTAGTTTACATTATTGGCTACATAGGCAACCAATTACGCCAAGAATATTAGGAAGGAAAGTTTTTCATGTGAAGTTAGTCTTTTAGTTCAATGGACGCATGATGTTCACACCCTTTTTACCTTCCGCTACTGGTGATTTCTGTACTCCGACCCTGATAACTTTTGTATTTGATGAAAGTGAAGCCGCAACAAAACCATATGATTGTTCACGCGTTTTGTACATAAGCTGATCATCATTCACTACTATGCTTGGGATCTTTGAATATTGCTCAATTGCTTGCCATAATTTCTCAATCGATTGTGAACAGTCATCTTTAATTTTCATGCTGAGTATTGTTCTGAAATTTATATTTTGGTAAGCATTCAATATTTTCTGGTTTTCATATTCCCAACGTTGAATATCTTGGCTATTTCCGCATCCAACAACAACACAAATTATGGGCACCTTTTTGGAGCAGATTGTTAAGAAAAGGTAATCAAGATCATCGCAGACTGTCGAACTCAGACTGCCGGTATGTGTAACAAACAAAATCAAATGAATTCCAACTTCAGCGTAATTCTTCAACTTTTTGTGAACGCTTGATTGTTGCCCTAGATCAATCTTGTTGAAGCCTGTTTGCTGCAGTTGAGAAACATCAATAAAAGAGTAGTTGCCATCACCATGAATGCACGGATCAGTTTCAGGCATACTTGGTGGTATATTGTTTGATAAATACTTTGTGGAGTAATTTTGACCCGAGAGTACAGCTATGATATTTGTTTTGACACTCTTTGATAAGTCGTAGACAAATATCCTACGCTGCATTCTAGATACTACAATTTAATTAAAAAAATCATATCAATTTTCCTACTGTTAAGAGACCTTGTAGAAGTTGTTCAGGACACATTATTTCCTACATATTTCAGTTTAAGTAAAGAGTATGGTTATGAATGTGATGAATAGCAAGAAATCTGATATGATGCAAAGTTTTAGAAAGATTTTAAGACCTTCAAACCGATTCGAAAACCTTTCAAAGATTTCTCATATCTGCGAAACACATGAAAAAATTCTTGGATTTGCAATTCATTTTTCGTAGGATTTCTCAAATTAGCAGAAAAACTAGAAATTCTACTAGTTGGCTGTGGATGTGACAGGTAATTGTGGGCTTAAAGTGTACATGTATTGATGCAAATGTTCCTATCACAAAAAGTAAATAAAAAGCTACGCGCACATCCACATCCCCACCTACAATCATTGTAAGACCGATTGTGACAG